TACTATAATTCTTCTTTTTTTTCCAGTTTTACCCATGCTTTCTCCTTTTTGTGTTCTGATTTTTCAAATGATGTTTGTTCAGCTGTATCATAAATCGTTGCAAATTGGATGTCCGCACTAGAAGTCTCACAGTGATGTTCGAGATTATGAAAAACCATGGAAACGAGTTTCGTTCGGAATGGTGGAGGGATTTGTTCAACATAGTGTTTCGGATATTCGATCATGCTAAATTAGACGAACATCGCGCAGATGTGAGTTTATCTCAGCCACTTTGCTTTTCTCATTTTAATATTTTCTGTTCGTGAACTTCTTTTTTGAAAAATAAATGAGACAGATTTTACTATAACTCATAATAATGTTTGAGAAAAAGGAATGGATGATGACGACATGTAACCATGCAATGTACGCCATCGTGGACGTCTTTACTCAATTCTTTCCTCAGCTTAGCGAGCTCGTTCTACCGTCCATTTACGAGCAGTTTGCAGTGTGCATCCAACAGAGTACGTCATGTAGCTATGAATTATTCTTCCTTCTTTTCTAAGTCTTGTATTCATTATCATTTGTTGAATATCTACTTAAAACCTCAAATATCATCTCTATCACGCTGAACTAGTTTTCCAAATATGTCTAATCGCTTTAGAAAACGAGCAATTAGCGCGATCGACTGTGAACTGCTTAGAGACTCTGATTTTGCTCAATGGTGAACGATTCACTGATGATATGTGGCAGAGAACAGTTCAACTATTCCGTCGCCTTTTTGCAGCGACATTGCCTAAGTCGTGAGTGGATAATTTGGTTTCATGGTGAGTTGAACCTTAATCATCCCTGTGTTTAGTTTATTGACTTGGGAGCCGGAACGTACAGGATCAGGAGCTCAAAACGACTCGACCAACGAAGAATTCGATGGAAAAGCGCCAAGCATTGACGGACGGCCTAACGGGTAACTGAACTTGCTGTGAATCTTGTTTAGTGCAATTCGATCTCTATACAGATCAATCCACCCCGACGCGGCATTTTCTGAGCAGATTGTTTTCTGTGTTGTTCAGTCAGAGTTAGTGGATGCGGTTACATCTATTGTACTAGGGGCGAAAAAGAGCACAGGTAATGTTTAATAATGACTGTTAATTCAAAAAAATCTCCGAACGAAATTCAGATGAGATTGTGCTGAGCGTTCCCAGCGCAAAATCTGAACAATTCAATGGTTCAGACTACACTAGCGCTGTCAGCAAAGGTTTATTCAGCACCATGGAACCTGCCCTTCTCTTGAGGTATCTTTTCGTGAAGATGATTTTTTTGGGTGATAAAGCACATTTGATTTTTTAGTCTTTGCGATGCATTAGGAGAGAGCCAACGATTAGCGAAACAGTTTAACGATAACAATGGTCAGAGGACGTTGTTATGGAAGGCTGGTCTTCGTGGATCGAGCAAGCCGAACCTGATCAGGTAATCGGTCTTATTCATAATTTGTAAGCGTCGTTTGTTTGGTAATACCATGACGATTGTGACTTACGCATTTCTTGTCACATTGGTCATAGAAAATTTGGTCAAAATTCCTTATTCTAGGTGTTTAAATACACTCGTCGTAATTGCAAAGTAGATTTATTTACTTAATCTTGATTCACAAGAAACAAATGATTGGAGGAACTTAATTAGCCAGCTGATTTGCTTTTGCAAGTGGCCTCCTCTCGAAAGAAATTTAGCTGAAGCTGTTTAGAGACGAACTGCGCTTATTTCGAATTTCAAGAATGAACTTCTACCTACTTTTTCTAGACAAGAAACGCATGCACTGCGTGCTATGCTCTCTATTCTTCTGCGGCTACTCAATGATCCTCGATCAGAACCTGTACAGGATAACGTTGCTAGAGGTGTATTGAAGTATGTTGCTTAGTGGGGTGTTGTGTTTGCTTTTCCAGGCATTTGTTCTTTAGCGTTGTATCTGCTGTTCTTCGCGGCTATGGTGAAGCTGGTTCTGATGCACGACGCACAGCTTACGCTCCAGTTGTTTGCGAGCTTCTACAAGAGTGCCTACGTCTGCCACCTCACCTACTTCCCGCACTGGGTGCTGAGTTTCCATTGCATCTCTGTGAACTAGTAGAGATTGCGGAAGGACAACCATTGCGTTCCCTATTGGCTACGTTATTGCGGCAGTTTTTGGTCACTAAGAAGTGTGTAACTGAAAATGCAAAAGTCAAGCCTGAAGTCAATGGTGTCTCAGATTGAACGTATCCTCGTCTATCTATTGCTTTTGCCCCAATATCATACAGATTCTTTATCTACTTACTTCTTATGATCGTTTCGTTCATGTACGGTAAGCTTGAAAAGTGGTACATGTAGCTGATTTTATAGCTCATTTTGAACTCATTCCTTTTGGGCTTGCTTTGTTGTGATTATTTTGGCATCTAGCTAATTCCAAATAGTGCATTTGTTATGTTTCTTTTTTTCTGGGGTAGTGTAATCATACTTGGAATGTTGTTTGTTGTTTATATGTAAATTAGCTAACTTATGTCGCGTATTTCTAACTTTAGGTGTATGAAAGTTCCATGTCCCGCATATCTTCCATCCGATGTTCCGCCCAGTTGTCTCATGCAGGCCGTGAACGATCACTTTTCAGTGAACTGGTCTTATAAGGGCTCTTCGTTTTATCTATCTCCTTGGTTGTATCATATGAACTTCAATCCCAATCAGTCCTCACTGTGTGATTATAATCAACCTTTTATTGCTCCGAAAAGGATTCCCCTCAAAACCTGGGCAGATTGCTTTCTTTTATACAACATAACTCCATCTGCAGGTGAGCAAGTGTGATATTTTTCTCTTCTGACAATGTTCTGTTTTTAAATAGATGTATCGAAACGTTTGCAAATTCAAATTGTATTTTTATTGCGACGCAACTTATAAAGGATTACGATTGTGATAAAAAATTTTATTTAGTGTTTTCGCAGAATTAAGGTAGCTTAACCCTGTAATTTTGGCTGGGATTGCGTTAAATAATTAAAAATAATAACTGAAGGTGAAATCTTTAGGCTTGCTCTTCATCCCTGTTAGGAATTTCAGTGATAATATTATCATTATGGTGAGCTTTCTCAGCTAATCGATTTATCAGTAGTACGCTGACTTTTATAATTTTACTTTATATTTTATAACGAGGAGGTGTATGTGAAGATTCTGCTTCCGTTCTAGTAGTTGGATGAAGTGAGAAGCGTAACTTATGCTATAAAAATAGAAATGTGACCACAACTTTTGCGATGGTAAATCGCACATTTTGGAACGCAGCACAAGCGAGTAAAAGTGTTGTAGTTCTTGTAAAGATGGAAAAAGGCCATTGCATTAATACGGGTATTTGGGCACACCTGGAAGCCAACATTACAAAACACTTGAGTTTGGAGAAAAAGAAATAAAGATGACGGAAATGCTGTTGTGTACAAATTAGAGTTGGGACGAGAGGATTTAGTATAGAAGAAAAATGTGCGTGAATAAATTTTGGAGATATTAACTCATAGCAGGATAGAAAGTTCAATGATTGAAAAATTTGTTGAGTATGGAGGACTTCCGAGAAGGATAAGTAGTGGGGAGGTGTCAGAGAGCGCTTCAAGCACTAATGCAATCAAAATAACCCTTTGAAAGATTTTTAAGTTAATTGCTTTCATCTATAAAAAAA